AAGTAACTAAAAAAATATATATATATGTACGATATATATGTGGCAAGGGGAGCGGGCAAAAAAAAAAAATTGATGCCATGCACTTAGACCTGGCTGCTGGCTGCTGGGGACTGGGAGCTGGTAGCTGGAGACTGGAGACTGAGTCTCTCTCTCTATATAATGGAACCAGTGACGTATGCACTTGACTTGACTTGCACATTTGCGGTGTGTGGCAGAAAGCCTCGAGAACTCAATTCGAGCCAAAGCCAAATCCCAAGAAAAATAGTTATTGTTAGAGCAGCGACGACAACGAGGATGGGGCTGAGGGCTGAAGGCTAAGAGAGAGAGCGACTACGGCAGTAAGTAGCTTTATTATAGGATTTTAAGTTATTACAACGAAGGCCCTGGAGGACCTGGCTATATGACACTGCTGCTGCTGCTGCTGCTGGCTGGCTGTAAGGGGTGTGTGGCGGGGTGTGGCTCCACTTTTTGCACTTGAATGCAAGAGAGGCTTAGGCTGCCTTCCCCATGCACAGATACAGATGTGTGCCTGTGCCTGGTCTACAGTCGAATTTGTCAACATGATTTGTAAGGAATTCAATTCGTTTGCTGCTGCTGCTTTTTTTGTGGGATTTCTTTTTTTAATGGACGAGTATTTACATTGAGGTTAAGGCTGGAAGAATTCGAATTACGAGCATGTGGGTCAAAGTTGATAAAGGCACGGAAGGTAATCAATCGGCTACTGAGTTTTACTTATGCCATAGAAAAGGCTACTGGGTTTCGGAGAAAAAATATTCTTCACTTTAATTTTTTGCATTTAATTTTGATGGACTTACAAGCACAGTGGAGCACAGCTAACGACGCCGTTGATGCTGCTAATGAAATACAAAATAGAACCTTTATTTCGCCATTGTAAGTAAGTGCTAGCCGCTCTTTTTACAGCTGCCACCAAAGCCAACATTTTGGACAGTTTGTTGCGCAAAATGTTGGACACTTTTTAGTTGTGCTGCCACTTTGACCCAGTTAATAATTTAGTAGGAATACATTAGCATTGAGCGTGAGTTTTGTTGGTGTCACAATTTGACACTAAGACTAATTTAATGGAAATTCGTCCGAACAGGGAACTTTGGAAAATGTTTTTACGCATATCGTGACACGCGAAGGAGCAGGAGAAAAAGAATAAAAGTCGTCGAGGCATCGGAGCATAGTACGAGTGTTTGGATCATATTTTATCTGACATATGTATCTATTTATATGCAAATGCCACTCCCCCCCCAGAGAGAGAGAATGCCCCTAGAGCTGGCGTGTGTGTCACCTGGACTCTCGACTCAACGCAACTCAACTCATTCTGTGGCAAGTGTGTGCGGCGTGTTCGTGCCAAAGTCAAAGTCGAGCCGAGTGAATTTTCCTTTTGTTGTTTCGACATTCCATGAGCAATAAATCACGGCACATACGCTGCCGCAGGTTGGGTTGCAGAATGCCTGGCAGGGGGGGGGTGGGTGGGTATATTCGGGTAGTAAAAAACTAATAAATCTAAGGCCAATTAATTGACTTAACTGCTGCTGGCAAACCAGACTCCAAGGCACACGGGCACGGGCGCACACAGACTGCACAGGGGCACAGCCAAAGGCGCACCAAAGGGTCGCAATTTATGGCCACACCATCAACTTGAACCCGCACATAATAAATCATAACATTTTACAGATAATAGAAAACCTCACACATGTCCAAGGAAACTTGCTCCGACTACTTCCCCCCCACCCCCACCTCCACCCACACTACGTCTTAACCTGCTACTTCCTGTTGTTGTTTTTGCAATTTTGTTTGCCCGCCGGCCTCAAAAATTTTAATAAACCGCAGAGAGAGAGAGAGAGAGAGAGAGCTGTTGTACCCATGGCAGTGGCAGTGGCAGTGGCAGTACTGGGAATAAAAATTGTTTCACATAATTTATGCCGCCTAAGAGGCAAACTTAGGCAACCCACACCCAAGCAAGGCCCAGTGCCAGGACTAGAGCCAGAGCCAGTGCCAGTGCCAGACAGAAGGATGTGTGTTTCCCAGGATGCGTATCCGGCGGCGCCTTTAGATCAAATCTAACTTTTTCGGTGTGTGTTTCTGTTGGTGCCTTGTGGGTTTTTTCTCTGCATGTTGGAGTGTCGTAGGTGGCCCTGACTTGGGACTTCATTTTAGTTTCATATTTGATTTTCGTTCACTTCATTTACAATTTGTTTGTTTCGTTATGTTTACTGCTGTTTTATTTTTATTTTTGTGCTTGGTGTGTTTTTTTGTTCGAAGTGTTTTAGTTACCGCACAATTTATTCGTAGTATATATACTAATGTACATATGTATATGTACACATTAAGTGTTTCCTTTTGTCTGACTACGGCGAGATTCCTAAGGTAAGTCCATAAAACCGAAATAAGTTTTAAGAGCTGGTGTAGAAAATGTGCTAAAAAGATTTATACCACTGAAAAGTACTGTGAAAAAGCATTCCCATTGAGACTTACGAACAAAAGAACTTTACAAACCCGCAAACTATTCTCGAGAGACAAAAATGACGGGACTAGGCATATTCAAATAGCTTAAGCCAGCTGGTGACGTTTCCAACACTATTTTGCAACTAACCAACACTGAGTAGAATTTAAGACACCTCCCAGGTCATGGAATAAAAATGAATGAAATTATTTGCAGGTCCAAAAACGTATATTTTGAAGTCAAGGAGTGCTAAAAATTAGCGAGCGGTATTCATGCACACTGTTTTCAACCTTAACCAACACTGAAGCATAAATATGTTGGATCAAAAATTAAATTGGGATTACCCTTAACTCATAATTATTTTTGGTGTATCGTTGAGGGGCACTGACTGAGTTGGAACTTATTTTTAACTGATTCCATAATTTTCTATTAATTATAGAAATTATTAAAGAAATTATAGAAATATATAGAAATTATATTCAGGTCCAAATTAGCTAGAAATTAGCTAGCGACATTCATGCACAATGTTTTCAAACCTTAACTAACACTGAAGCACAAATATGTTGGAGTACAAATTAAATAAGTCATAATTATTTTCTGTGTATCGTTCAGGGCCACTGACTGGAACATTGGAAAATATTTTTAACTGATTTCGTAATTTTCTTTCAATTATAGAAATTATAAAGAAATTATAGAAATATATAGAAATTATATTCAGGTCCAAATTAGCTAGAAATTAGCTAGCGAAATTCATGCACACTGTTTTCAAACCTTAACTAACACTGAAGCACAAATATGTTGGAGTACAAATTAAATTGGGGTTACCCTTAAGTCATAATTATTTTTGGTGTATCGTTGAGGGGCACGGACTGAGTTGGAACTTATTTTTAACTGACTTCATAATTTTCTATTAATTATAGCAACCTTTTTTAAGTGCTACTAAGATGCTAGTACTAATAATTAGCTCCAGCTACTGTTGGTTTTGATTCGTTTAGTTTTTAGTTTTTGGTCCGAATTCTTGATAGGTTGAACAAAAACAAAAAGCAAATACAAAATCAAACTGAATGAATTGCAGCAGTGAATCAAAGTCAAATCGAAAGTTTTTTCGGGGGCGTTGCACGAAAGTGTTGCAAGTCCTGGCAACGGAAACTTCCCGTTACGCCTTCGGGGCTGGCCGGGCCCCGCGTGTTTGTCTAGTGGTCTACTGACTCGCTCCTCTTTTCGTGACTATCCTGTCCTATGTCTGGTTCTTCCTCTTTTCGCGACTATCCTGTCCTATGTCTGGTTCTTCCTATTCTCTACTCTAATACGGTGGGCAGCCCGTCGTCCGTCGACAAACCTGCCACGCCCCACGTCTTGTAATGACGTCATTTACATGCTGCAACAGCATTCATTACAAGCGAATGTGGCAGGGTGTCTGTCTGTCTGTTCGTCCGTCCGGTTTTGGAGGTCTAGGCCCGGAGCCTCTGGGCTGCAGAGCAGCGCGGCAATTACATAAATCATCTGAGGGAGGATTTGTAGGCAGACAAACGGAGTTTACATATGATGAAACCGCTCCACGATGTATAAATATAAATATAGATAGAGATAGAGCTATGAGTGAGGATAATAGGGCCTGGAAAGTGATCTAATTTCCGCTTAATATATATTTATATCTCCAGGTAGATAAAACCTATCTAGTACTTTATATATCAAAAGGGATGGAATGCTGGGAAAATATGGTTACATATCCAGGATATAGCCCCTCTATGATTGCATTTCCATTTGGAATTTTCTTTGCAAATTTTGTGCACGGATTGCAATTTGTGTAAAAACTTTTATAGACAGACACATAGACGGGATAATCACTGGCGGAAAAAGCCATCAAGTTCTTTCATTCGTTCGTTCGGTCGTTCATCGAATCGTAAATAAATTATTCCCCTTGATTGATCAACTTTTTGTCGCTGACAACCATAAAGGGGCAGCAGGGGCACAGGACAGAGGGCAACTGATGGGTCGGGCACAGCTAGTGGTGGTGGCAGGGTGGTGGGGGGCTAGTGTAGTGTCATTGTGGCCGAAAATGTCGAGGCAGCCGCTCGTAAACATAAATCCAAGTGACGCTAATTGTTTGTTGCAATTACTGCTGCAGTTGTTGCCACTGTTCAGTTACGTGTGCTGCCCACACAGAAGCAACAGCAGCAGCAACAGCAGCAGCAGCATCAGCTGCCACAGGGATGAGTCGGCATGGTGGCAGAAAGGAGCTGAAATGGGGCATCAGAAGGAGCAGCAATAGTAGTGGCGGGGTGCAGGGAGGAAGCTGTGTTTGCATGCAAATTTTGTTGCATCTGCAGTTGCTGCTGCTGTTGATGCGCTGCTGTTGCTGTTGCAACAGCAAACAATTACTCAAACATTGTTGCAACTGCTGCTGTTGCTGCTGCTGCTGCTGCTGTGGATGCTGCAGCTCGTTGTGCGTGCTAAATGGCGACTACTCTGGCGGCTAATGATAATCACTCAACGCGCCCCCACACCACCCCAGGCGCCACTCACTCACCTCTACTATAATCCGTCAGCCTCTCTTCGGTACATCTCCATCTCTTAATTCCAGCCTTAATTTAGCCGTCCGCTTTGTCAATTGCCTCAGCTAGCAGCTGCCCATAGAGAAAAGAAATCAAAGAAAATATTTAAAATATATTATAAAATATTTAATATTAAATTATTTTTATTATTGAATATTGAAAATTTTAAATATTAAAATATATTAAAAAATTAGAGTAGTGCCAGTAATGCCAGAAGTCCGTTGGCAATGTTTACCCACACTATTTTGTAACTCTAATCAACACTGATTTGATTTAAACATGGCAACCGTTTGTATTGTGTGTCATTTAGTTGTGTATTGGATTTCCCACAAAGTTTTAGTATTTATTTTACGTTCGTAGAGTCAACAGTTTTAGTCAGTTTTCCTTTTTAATATTTCGTGTTTTTTATTGGAAGTTTTCCATAGAGTAGTGTGCAAAGCGTTTTATGTCTCGTGCAGCATAAAATTATTGGTAAGTCAAAAAACAAAGGAATCGAACAAAAATAAATGCCGTACGAAATCAAAGTCGCATTGAAAGTTTTTGTTTGTTGCAAGTCCAAACGAAAACTTTACGTTACGCCATCGAGCTGGCCACCGCGTGCTTTTAGCCATTCTAACCAGCCACAAGGAAACATTTATTATAATTAAATTTATTTACATTTATTTATAACATTGTTTATTATTTATTATTATTATTTATTTATTATTATTTATTATTATTATTTATTTATTTATTTATTATTATTTTTTTATTATAATTATTTTTTTACATTATTAAAAAAACCGTTTATTTCTTATAATTTATTACAATATATAATATTAATATTATATTATTATTATTATAATTATTTGTTTATATTTATTTAAAACATTTACTGTAGATTTTTCTGGCCTAATTTTTAATTTTCATTTCTTTTCAGCTATCAATTTGGAATTCTGTCATTTAAGTCTACCAGACCCTTGTAATCTTAGAGTCATAGATCCAGTAAGTATTGCCTTGTGCCTTTTCGATTCTTGGTTCACTTGACGAGTATTATGCTCCGCCATTCGCTTTTGATGGGATGGTTTATTCCTATTTGAGTTCATTGTGGTGCAATGTTGCCCCCATTTCGTGCAGATTCCTATATCAAGCACATCCTTGAGAGTCTCTCTCTCTCTTTGTGAAGCTCCTTCTGTCCGTCCGTCCGTTCTGCTGTCTTCTCATCTGTCAGCAGAGCCATCAAACAGACCAACAAATCTCCTGCCAGGCCGAGCATAATACTATTTATATGCCATATAATTGGCACTCCATTCCCCCACCTTACCTCTCATCCCCTGTCCCTGTGCTGGTCCTGCCCAGGCCAGAGCACTTGGCAGGCAGAAGATGAATTTCAAGTTTGCATGCCACAGCCCCCAGTCCCCCAGCCCCAGCCCGAGCACGAGCAGCAGCGGCACAGTACAAGGGGCGCCACAAATGGGGCGCATAATGCTCACAATGTGGTGGAGGGAAACTCCACTGCTCCACTGCTCCAACTGGCTGGAGATACACAGCTGGATATAAATCAGAATTAATGCATGGCCATAACAATATCAAATTAATATTTTTGGGAAATGCATGCGACACACACAGAGGAGCAGCAGAGCAGCAGAGAGACAGAGGCAGAGTGGCAGCAGTGGAGACGGATGAGTGGATATATATATATCTATACTATATAGTATATATATACCTAATTATATATAGAATTTATGCCTACCAAATGGCCATTGAATAATTATTTCTAGAGCTCTAGAAATGCCCCCTAAAATAATCATTGGTATACGGAGACAATTGAGCAGTGGCCCTGAACTAGTTCTTTCGCATCATGCAATATGACAATTAAATCTACTACAAAATGCATGGCCATATAAAGAACCCACCCCTCCCCTGTGGTTATTGCACCTTTTAATGCTATACCCATTTAAATTATATGCTCTACGCCCAAATGCTGATGGTGACTAATTTGTATTACCCAAAACCGTACGAGTAACAGACATGAACATAGAGAGAGAGGAAGAGTGTGAGTATGGCTGGGCTGGGAAGTGACTGGCAACTGACTTCCTCGACAATTAAATAAACAGTTCGTAATACGTAACCCACTTGGACCCCCGGAGGAGGCACAACCAACAGCCAACAGAGACCTGCAACAAACACACACATACAGAACTGGGATTGGTACTGGATCCTGGATCCTGGGTTCCTGGGTTCCTCGGCTTTCGTGTGGCAGTTTGCAACTGGAAAGTGATATTAATTATGGGCTTTTGTTGCAGTTGCAGCTTGCTGCTGGCAGCCCAAAACCGCCTGACGCCTGTCGCCTACAACCCAGTAGTCCATGGACTCTGGCCTGAAGGCAGCTTCAAGCCTGGGTTTGGGTTTGGGTTTTGGGTTTTGGGTTCTGCTGCTCATTTCTGGCTCTATGGCTCTATAGCTCGTCACTGATTAAGTGACTTTTGGGCATGACACAACTCTGTGGCTGCTGCTGGGGGGCCGGCACTTAGTCACACACTCAGCCCTCTGCCACAGCCTTCTGTAGTCAAACAAAAATTTTGTAGCAATTAATGGTAAACAAATGTGTGAGTGCACACACATGCAACGAGAGACAAAGCACTTTTAGCCTCATTAGCCTGGCAAACTGATATCGATTCGATGCAATTTTCAATACCATTTTTGTGCCTGTAGCAACGTAAACAAACAATCTGCTAGCATGTGCACCAGCAAGCTCAAGAACAACGGGAACTGCGTGGAAGTGGATCAAGAGAGATCCGTATCCAAGCCAAATTTGGATGAGGCTAAGGCATCAGGATCCGGTGCCGTCGCGGATGCTGGTTGCCCACAAAAGAAGACGTCGATCAAGCGCAGCAAGAGGAGGCTTAAGCCGGTGCCACATATTAACAATGGCTACTTAAATTTTATTAAAAAATTTAGACTGACACACGGAGATTTGCAGCCGCTGGAGTTGATACGGCAAGCGGCCAAGGCCTGGTGCAGGCTGCGCGAATCGCAGAAGAACATTTATCGTCGCATGGTAGGTGGCCAAAAATAAATATATATAAAATAAATAAAAATATCTTTCATAGGCTTGCCCAAAGTCAAGGAATTCCCGCCACAAGAAATGTGGAACAAGCAAGCGCAAAACCAAGAAGCGCAGTTGCAAGCCGGAGAAGGAGGAAGAGAAAAAGCATGAAGAGTAGAAGGAGGAGCGGTTGGGTTACGAGTGGTACGAGGAGTACGAGAGGTACGACGTGTACGAGCAGTAGAAGAGTTACGAGGGGAACGCGTTCGAACGAGGAGTACGAGAAGTACGGGCAGAAGAAGGCCATGCCCCCAAGTTCCGATTGTTCCATTGTGTGTTTCCAATTCCACAATGGTGCGGGAGATGATGCCCGTGAAACGATTTGAAATTTATCAACGCTGTGTGTGTGCCAATTCCATGCAGTCCAAAATTCAATTCGTATTTCCATGTATTTCCCAACAAAATATATATCAAATTATATGTAAAGCTTACAGTTTCTGTGTGTGTTGGTTGTTGGCACGCTACCGGGGGGCAGGCTACAAATGAACAGCCTCAATGAGCCCCAAGTAAAAATGAATGAGCAGCAAATAGCCAATGCAAATGGCGATTTTTATGGATTTATTGCGTAAACACAAATGAACAGAATTATTGGTAGGTTACAGCCAACCAATTCTAGGCGCCCAGGGCTGTGCTTTAGTAATTTTAGACTCAAAGATATGACATCTAGCAATGCCCAAAAGTAGATGAATGATGGAATGGAAAGCTTTTCTTTTCAAATAAAACTACAACATATTGCCCCAGTTAGCGAGTCTGCCCTGAAGTTTCGATCAGCCCACCGAAACTTTCTCTCAACGTTCCAATAATTATTCGCTGCTAATCACTTTGTGGGTGAAAATTGCACCCCAGAGTCATAATGAGTACGAGAAGAACCAGAACCAGAACCAGAGCCACTGGCAGAGGCAGAACCCATCGCGTGAACAGAGTTTGAGTGGCAAGCACTCTGGCATTCAACGTTCAACGCTTAGATACATTTGTATCCACATACATATGTACACGTAGCTGGGTAGTTAACGCGGGGTCCTTGGTGCTCACAGTAGTAGGAGGCAGCAGCAGCAGTCAGCACACGTGTAACGTGTGTTTATGCAGTTGTACGGCTCGGCTCAATGGGCGAAATTCAATTTATTATTCCACTATATGAGCTTTCGCACTTAACTTGCATGAATATATAATGAGCTACGTAGCTACCTACCGTTTCCCCTGTATGGAAATGCTATATGGGAATGGTGCTCTATGGATGATGGTATATAGCCTGAGCCTGAACGCTGAACGCTGAGTGGCTGCTATGCGATAGGCGGAGTAGGCTGGGATGGGGTAGGGGTAGGGGTAGGGTGCTGCTGTTAACGCAGTTGCGTGTTCGAAGCTGTAGAGGGGTAGGGGTACGATTATGGGTGGGTTCTCTGACCTGGCGGCCTGTTGTGAGACGGCTAAATTGAATTATTAATAACACGCAGCGCATTCAATGGAATAGAACAGAGCAAAGCAAAGCAAAGCAAAGGCAGACTCAAGGATGCCTTATATATATCTATAAATATATATACATATACATACATACATATATGCAGACGTGCAGTCGTTTATTGTGGCCGAGACAACCTTGTGGGACCCCACACAAGAAAAAGGGCAACCAAAAGAAAAGGGACTAATCGTAGCCACTTATGACCATAATTTGTCAATTTTCGAAACAATTCCCCAAACTCGCATAAATTGTCTGGCACTGGGTCTGGGACACTGTCATCTTTTGGCTTTTGGCACCCATTACGGCTCATTTCTCTTACTCTGTGGGTGAAAAATGAAAGTGAAACTCCAGTAAAAAAAAAAAAAAAAAAAAAGCATAAAAAAGAAAAAAAAACATCCAAAAGAAAAAAAAAGAAACGCATTTAAATGCCGTTGTACGATGCATAAATTACGCTGAAACGTTGACGTTTTTCACATAAATGTTTAAATGAGTCTCGGAGTTTTTGGGCAGCGCGGAACGGACTCTTTCCGTTTTGAAATGAAAGCCCCGAATGGATTCTCTGGTTTTTGGGGACTTGTTGCTCACTTGCTCTTTCCCTCACCCCTTGAGCCGTGATTGAATCGAAAGCTAGGACCCCCACAAAAAGGAAATTGTATACGTTACGTGGCGGGAGCAGCGTTCTTCGCTTATTCGATTTACACAGATTTATGATGCTTTCAGACAAACACACACAAAAAAACTAAAACAAAAATAATAAAAAAATAAAATGAAATGAAATAAAATATAGTACATTAAATATACCGATAAATGTGCACTCGAAACGAATAACGGACACGTTGGACATTGACTAAATGCTACGGCAAATAAAAATTCACTTAGCTAACAAGAAAGCAAAGACGTACCACAAAATTCTACTCCTCTCTACTCTTCTCTTCTTTCTTTTTTTTTTTTTTTTTTTTTTTTTTTTTGTTTTTTGAGGTAAAAGAAAATCTAAGTAAAATTACCGCCCCCTTTGTGAATTTTGGGCCTGGCAGGCAGATAACTGCCTGCCCAAATGACACACATTAGGGGCCAAAAGGTATATTCGATATGGGCCGAAGGAGCAATATGGCTCCTGGCAAATGGTTATGTGTGTGTGCCGATTCAATTCAAGCTCAATTTCCTTTGATGAAATGTATTTGTGAGTGTGCTGTGGTGTGGTCGTGGTCTGGGGAATCCGTGCCGTACGTGACAGTTGTTCTTAAATAAGCCCCATGACTAAAAATCAGTAGCAGCAAAATGCAGCATGAAAATATGAAAAGTGCGCCACAAAAGTGAGCTCCGAGAGAGAGTCTGCTGGGTTTATACTCCGCTGGTATTCATACGGAAAATTGTTCAATTAATAACAAAAATCCTTTATGGTCAGTTAACCGGGGAACAGCCGACTGGCCGTTAATTAATGCACTTGTCTGTCTGTTCTACTGTCTGTCTCATGCTCCTCCAATCGAATATTTGCCCTCCACTCCTTCCACTTGGTGCTATGATTAATGTTTAATTAAGTTTGCTGCAGACAAAAAAAAAAAAAAAAAAATTGTCCCGCATTGGCAGCCCAGGCAAAAAGGATTACATCATATTTAATCACAGTCATTATTTATAATGATATCGCTTGCACGAGGCATTAAAGGCAGAGCCTCTCAAATATGCCAAAAGTTATCAAAGAGCTCTCTCGCTCTCTCTCTGCGAAGTAAGTTAAATATCACATAAGCGTTATTAAGTGAATTTCATGCGACTCTACGCGCGGATGTTCCACAATTTAATTTCAACGGAAATTCACTAAAGTTCTTACGTAATAAAATTCACTAAAGATGGAAGAATGGTTGTAGCTTGCAACTAAATATGATTTTCATATATGTAAATCAGCTGCCGAGCCATTGAAATCTTCCAACTTGGCAATAGGTTCCCTTTAATTATATTCTTAGTTAACTTACCCTGTAAATACCTTTCCCTTGATACTTCCACTTTCATTTCATTAATTTTATCACATTTTGCAGATCAACAATACTATAAGCCAGCCCTTCCTTCAATCATTTAATCGAAATGGTACCATATTTAATGCCCATATTTGGGAATGCATTCCTGCATTATCCTCCAATGCCCTTACGCAATTTCTGTGTCTGTGTGGGTCTGTTTGTGTGTGTGTGTGCAGAGCAGCTTAAAGTCATCCTTATCGGTGGGGTAAGCCAAAGTGCAGTAGCCGTCGCTCGAGTTGAAGTAAATTAATTAACAATGTTTATTGTTTGCACAATATGCACGAATATTCCAGTTGCAGTTGCCAGTTGCCAGTGTGGCCGTGCTGCTTGTTGTTGCTGTGTTGTTGGTGGTCTCCTTGTTGCTTGCTGTTTCCATCTGTTTCCATCGGTGTTCGTTCAGTTGTGGCTGGCTGGCTGGCTGGCAGTTGTATCTGTCGCTGCTCTCTGCCACTGTCTGTGGCCGCTCTCTCCCTCCGCCTGACTGTTTGTTTGACTGACTGACTGACTGACTGACAGTCAATTTGCAATGGCACTTACATGTTGAGAAATGTTTTACATTATTTGCACATGCTGGCAAATTAAATTAAATCAAATTATTTTGTTTTGTTTCTACAGATGTTGCTGGGCAAAGCAGTCTTCTGATGCTACTGCTGCTGCTACTGCTGCTCATCATCATTATCATATCACGAGCCACAGCCCAAGTCCTTGGGCTCAAATGCAACAATCTGGTTATTGGTAATTGTAAGCTGTTGGGCCAAAAGAGCGAGACTGAGCTGGAGCCGGAGACGGAGACCTGCGGCCAGTTGCATTTAATTATAACCATAATAATTGAGGTTGGCCCTTTGGGAAAACGTTATTGTTGCCTCTTAATGAATAGGAATGCCATAGCTATGCCACAAGCTGATCAATTGGGAGGGACTCGACTGCAAAATATAACATGACAAACCTTAGAAAGGTGAATGACTAGTGCCTGAGATTTTTAGAGTCAATGATGTCATCATTGCGGAGGCGGCTGCCAAAATATAAGCCATGGAGATAAGGCACCCGCTCAAAGCCTGCAGCAGATCACAGAGAGCGAAGCAGAGAGGTGGCTGCTATTAGCAGAGCGAGCCCCGAAGAGAAACCAGAACTAAAGCCAGGGAGAGAGAGAGCACGCCAAGCTGGCTGATAACGAAGACGAGAGAAGAGCGAAAAGTGCTGCCAAGCCACGCGGGCAGAGCACGCACCCGACAGCGAGAGAGCGCGCACCCACATGCATACTTGTGAGCGAGAGAGGCCGATACGAAGTGCCAAGAGCACTAGAGAGATACGGCAGAACTCTACGCGGCAGTGACTGCGACACTAAGCGGACAGAGACCGATCTGGAACAGCCGCCAGAGCGAGAAGGAAGAACGACTAGAGAGGCTTGGCTCTCTAGTGCTCCGCCTCTGTCCAATGGAGCAGCGAAACGAAGAACTGGAAGCAAGAGAAGAAGTCAAATAAACAGGACAGGAATCGACATGCATCGACTTTGCTACATTCGACTTAATCAACATCTAACTAGAACCAAAAATATATTTCAAATTTTCTTGTCAAAATTGCACATTTTTAGTTCGAAAATTCTAAATTATATATACAAATTTTTTGATAAAACGCTTTCAGCACTATGGCCGATTCTGCATGAAGTGATTATAAATTTTATTGTTTTCTTCTATCAGACATTTTTGTTATTCGTAAGTCTTGAGAAGCCACAAAAACAAATGGAGAAATCTTCTTTAAAATATGGAAATCCCTCTCCTGCCCATTCACAGCGCCAAATCCATCCAATCAAGAAGTTGGCCGCTCTGCTTGTACTGCACAACATTTTCCTCTACTATGTGATAAATATGTTTAAGCATTTGGCGCAGGGTAAGTGTTACAGATGGCTTCACTGTACCCACTGTACTTGAATTACCTAACGGAGTTCTCTCTCTCGTTTTGGGCAGCTTCGATTGGATCGGCGGGTCCGGTGAACACCTTCTACTATGTGCCCTTTGTGTATGAGACGCCAGCAGCAGCTGTCGAGTCTGGCGAGGATTGGCATGTGGTGCTGACAACACCCCAATGGCAGTTCTTTGAGTCACTTTTCCGGCATCATTTGGCCCTGTTGCTGCCCTTCAATCTGTCCCTGCTAGTGCCGGTAAGGAAATGCTCTCTCTACTCACACACACACACACCTTCAAACACGAAGCGACACCAAGCAGCGCCAAGCGACAGGCGCCAAGCGGCTCTTCATGTCAAAAGATTTTCTCTCTCTCATTTCAGCACTGCAAAATGGCTTTAATTAGCACTTTGGTGTTGGCATCCAACCTGCTGATGTTCATTTGCTTCACCTCGGCCATCTGCCAGTGGCTGTTGATGTGCGGCCCCTACGGCCTGGTGCCATTGATGCCCATTCTGTGCCTGGGTCCAGTATGCCAAATGCTTGTGTTGGGCTTTCTCCTGGCCCGCATCTGGGTAATGTCACTGGTGCTAATCAATTTTCAAGATGGCAGGCACTTGATGTTTAAAATTTTCATTTCTGTGTACTTTTAGCGAAGTCCTTGGATTGTTTATGATGAAATTTGATTGAGCAAATGCTGATTGTCAGGCAGGGCCTATCTGGCATCGATGCAACCAACCACCTTTGAGGCCAGCACCCATCATAATCAGCACCACAAAAGTTAGCAGCAGCAGCAGCAGCAAATCAAACCAATAAACCAACTGAAGCGAAGCGAACTGATTCCACTCCTCTCAATCTTTATGCCATGCCGAAAATCACTTTCACTGCACAACTGCCAAAACTGCAGGCATTTATGACAGCAGCAGCAGCAGCAGCAGCAGCAGACGAGGAGTACCCAGGGTAGCCCCTTGGGGCAAGCAGCAAAATCGCATAACAAAATTGTTGCTGAAAAGTTGAACAAATATTGAGGTCAGCAAAATGTCGAGCCTCACAACTGCCAGGCAGCAGGCAGCAGGCAGCAGTTGTTGTTGCTGTTGTTGTTGGTGTAAACTGTTTTGTAGCCTTTGGCATAAACTTCTGACACGCTCGGGCACAGTCTGGCACAGTCTGAAGCCTGAATTGAATGCTCCTTCTGCTACTGCAACTGCCACACAGCTACAGCAACTGCTTCAGCTCGAGCTACTGCCCATGACTCTGACTCCGACTCTGGGACTGTGAGGAGTTCGTCCTCCTGCTGTCCTTCTGTGTGGCGGCGGCCTCTTCTGGGCTCATGCAGACCCACAAAAAATATTCAATGAAAATCGGCAGTCGACAGTCCTCTCTTTGTCAATAATAACAAGAAAGGCAAAATGGACTACGCAATTATGTGACGAATTTTGGATACACTTGCAGTAACATTCAACTTAAATGTTGGCTAACTAGCAATGAATATTAAATAACACTATATTTATAGAGGAATATTAGGAGAATTTTTTCAGAGAAACAGAGACAGAGACCGATCCATGATCCGTGCCCTCTGTCTGTGGCAAACATTTTGACATAATCATTATAACCATTTTTCCAGGATATTTTTAAAAAATGAGTTGTTGCTTTTAGCCCTCTACGCCTCGCCACACTACCCGCCGCCTACCCCTGTGTGTTGCATGGCGCATTGCAGACGTCGTTGTTGCCTACGGGCTCCGGTTTCGTTGCCCATGCCCCCTCACCCCAACCGACAGCAGCACTCCGGCTGCCACTATACGTTTTCGGCTCTTATTGAGAAATTGCCGCAAATGCTTTTCGATTTTTCGTTTTTCCTCGCCTCTCTGTACGGGACATGGCTTGGCTTTTCATATTGCATAATTGATTGTGTGTGTGTGTGTGGGGGTGTGTAGGGGTATGTGCGGGTTGCATAAATGCCAAGCAGACGGCATTGTCACCACCCCCACTCAGCAGCTCGAAACCTGAAACCCCAATCCAGATCACCGGCCCCGGCAACCCCAACCCCAACCCCATTGCCATTGCCACTGCCTACATTTATGTACATTTTCAATATGCATTCAGATGCATTTACCATGCATTGATTGCCACAGTTGGCCAGTAACCAGCAACCAGCAACCAGCAACCAGCAACCAGCAACCAGTAACCAGCAACCCATCAACCAGGAACCGGGAACCAGAAAAGAGCATTGCATTTCGCAACAGAACAGGAGCAACAGCATTGCGTGTTGTGTTAACGATTTCTTTGGTAATAATTAAATTGCACAACTTGCTGTGAATTAAATCCACAAAAGCATACAGTGAACACATGCTAAAGTGGAAGACATTTTTTGAAGGTTAGGGGGAATGGAGTTGGGAATGTGTACTATGCAAAAACTGAGCAGATCTTTCCTTTTTTCCATTACTAATAATATTATTATAATATAAATGGGATTTGGGAGAAATTGAGGTATAACAAAAAGCTCATGAAATCCTTTTAAGGTACAAGTTTTACTACTGAAATGCATTGAAGAAGAAATAAAAGACTACCAAATACTCAGACTGCAAAAATGCTAAAAAAAAATAATTTTTTTTAATTTTATGCATACTTTTTAATGCTTTTTTCAGAGGTAGCGCTTCGTTTTTCACATAATGTCCATAATGCGCAAATAACACATCTCAGTCTAAAAATTAAATTTTTAATTAGCTTTCTGCTATGAACCGAACACTCGTACTCGCATATACTGCACTCCATTTGGTCAGAGTAATACTGAGAGGCAAAAGCCAACGGCCAACCCAAACAATATCTTTCATATTTATGCAGAAATTCAATTTTAATGTTTGATTACCGCAGAAATGGACCTGAACTTAAGTTTATTGCAGTGCCATTCAGACAATTGAAGATTGATAACGATTTTTCGAACACTCAGATCAAGGTCTTAACAAATTAATTGATTTTCTATGGAAATCAATCGAACCAAGGCTCAAAGTTTAATCTTAAGATCATCAGTGGGTATATATTGAGGCGTATAAATAGGGAGCCATTTATTCCTCCATCGACAGACTTTCAACGACAGCCTCGAAATGAAATTGCAATTATTGGTGAGCGCAGAGAATTAAATCGCGAAAGACTCTTAATAATTCTAATAAAATATTTTCTTCGGCAGATATTATTCGTTTGCTGTTTGGCGACCACTGCTCTTGCGGCACCAAACTCTGAGGAGGATGAGGAGCAATCCATTTTTGTTCAAGTGTTTCACGAAATATGGAAAGCAAAACTTAAAATTTGTGGAATAATCGGAAATAAATTTGTTGACATGGCCTTTGGAATGGATTCTGATTAGTATGCTGGCAATACGAAAACTCATTATGAAATTCATTATTGATTTTGAGATTTTGTGATTAATAGATCATCAAATAAACATATGTCTACGATTTAAATATATGAATAATCGTGAGCTGCCAAGTAACTCAGTACGGGAAAGATTATATTCTTTATTTGATACACGATTTGTGGCACAACAAAAGATAGTTTTATTTTAACTATAGGCGTCGTTACCTGTCATAATTGTTGCTTTGGCGCCGAATAAAAAATTAAATAACGTTGCTAATTTTTTTATATTTTATGTTCTACGAGTATGCAAATAAAATTCCTTTCATTTGCACACTTGACAACCAATGGACATGGAAAATGCACACGCAGCAGCAGCAGCAGCAGCAGAAGCAGTACTGCCATCGCCTACACACATATCGATGGATATGTGGGTTAACATGCAGATGACACATCAGTTGTGACACTTTTGTTGATTTCCTGTGCAAACTCTGGCTGCAATTTTAAATTCAAATGCAATAATATGTTGGTATTACTTTATAGCAGGCATCCAGATGTATCATCATCATCCGGCCACATCACACTCCACACACACACACACACACACACACAGCCCAAGTAGAGGTCGAGTACGAGTACGAGTGAGAGTATATACCCCGTTATACGTACATATTATTTGTATTTATGTGCATTTTCATTTGATATACATACGAGGAGTACGACGTGCACTATGTACAACAAAAACGGTGCTGGGAGAGCAAGAAAGATTGCAAATTGCTATGTGGAACTCCCACGCGTCTAATAACACGGGGAACAGAACAAGAAACAAGCAGGAAAAAAAAAGTGAAAAGATGTAACTCAGCCAAGTAGACGGTTAGTTGCTCTTTGCTTAAGGAAGTACAATTTAATATAATATAATATAATATAATATAATATAATATAATTATATTATAATATTTTATATATAATTAATGTAATATATTATATAATATATATATATTATATATTTTATATTAATTATATAATATATAATATATATTATTTAATAATTATATAATGATTAATATAATATAATATAATATACATATATATAATATAATATTATGTACAGCATAATTATTTGATTCGGTTAGAAATTAAAATTTACAAGAATGGGATTACCTTCAACAGCAAATAATTTATAATATAATTACATATAAATTACATATTACATAAGATATTATGTTTTATAATTATTATTATTATATTATTATTGTTATATTACTTGTTACAAAATATATGATTATTATTATGTTATTACATTTTAAAAGAGTTTCCTATAGGTATCCTATTTGTAGCTCATCATCATTCTTTTACTACTCTCCCTGACTATTCACAATTCATTCAGATTTTCTTAAATAATTTTAAGTTATATTTCTGTCCATTCCCTATACAAAACTTTATACACTAACAGCTCTCTATTTTTCGCAGTGATTGCACTTCGGTGCACTCTATCGCATGGTTAGTTTACCCTCTGCTGACTGATGTACTCGTAGTACTAGAAAGAGAGCTCGGCGAAAGCTCTCGACGAATCTCAAGTCGTGATATGGCCGCATAGTAACGAGCCACAGCCGTGTCCATAGCTCCCGTAGCCCCCGAAGCCACCGTAGCTCCATAGGCCCCGCCGCCACGTGACTATATAATAATGAGCAGGAGAGGTAGAGCTGGTTGGCAGAACCATCATGTCTCTAAGCAGGAGAAATTTAATTTCTAGCCACCCATACACAGTACACAACCCCGCAGAACCCACTGGTTCTGCCATGCCACACTCCACTCCAACCCACACCTTCGTGCCACATAATTGTGTATTCAAGTAAGAGATATGGCAGTTGAAAGAAGCTCTATCAAGGCGAGACGAAGCGACAGGACGCGACGTGGTGGTGGCGTGGGCGGTGGCGGTGGAGTGCCTGCCAAGAGCTGCCTTAAATTAAGATAATGACATGTGAGGTATCGCCTCCTGGGGTTCTGCTTCCAAATAGAAGTAGAAGGTAAAAGGTAGCAGGCAGTGGAGCTGGTGCTGGAGCTGGAGAGAAGTGCTTGGTGCTTGCTGCTTGGTAAATTGCGATAACATAGAAATGGCCTGAATGGTGGCTCACTTTAAAACACTTAACCCTTGACACAGGAGCGGAACCCAAACCCAAACCAAAGAACACCCATTCCCCAGCTGGCTGGGCCACTGGGGTGAGTCTGGGCACGCACTTTTAAAGCGCAACTTGATGGCAAACTGCCAAAGAGTTTGACTTCCTTGATGGCGTGCGGCGGGGGGGGGGAACTTTGGGTTTGATCGGGGGTGGGGGTGGTGGTTTGAGGAGCACAAATCTAGGACATGCCAATGAGCTGGGCTCTGGGAAATTGAATTTTGTGTGCCTTGGCTCCACGTACATAGTGAATCCACGAGGTTGGATATCAGTGGGGAGTGGGTAGTGGCGGGTATTGGCGGGTAGTGGCGGGTACTGGAAATTGCCTGCATCGGCTTACGGCATCATTATTGGGCTTCTCAATCTGAATGCAAGCCCAGAGTAAAGGCTCAAGTGCTGAAAGACTTGCGCCAGTGCAGTGGCAAAGCGCCTTAACTTACAGATCCCTGTGGAATATTTTTCTTTGCTGTTTAAACTAATAATAAACTACAATAAATTGCATTTAAAAAACTGTAAAAATAAAACTACTTTAGAGATATATTTCTATATTGAATTGTTTGTTTTTTCTGCACAAAACTTCCCATGTTAGTTGTACCTATTGCCGGCTCAATCAATTTATTTTGTAACCTTCAACTGGACTGCTATTTTTGGCCCTACAAAGCTCATCCTACCCATGTGGCCTTTTGGCTTTACTCATCAGAGGACGAGACATTCGTAGACAGGTAATTGCTGTTGATTTCGGGTGGAATGATTATGCTGAATCATTTCCCCCACTCCCCATAATTGACAGGCGACCAAAAGCCCCAAAAAAACAAAACCAAATGTAGCGAAACGAAACGAAAACCCAACGGAAGGATATTCAATAAGCAAATCGATGAAGAACTACGAATATCTATGTATGTGTATATCCTTTTGGCAATCCTTTTCCCCTACACACATGAAAGTAAAACTTAAACAGTGAAATTTTCTTTTGATTGATGCGCAAATCAGCAAATCAATTGGAATGACAAACAAAATAGGGTAAGCATGAAACGAACAGCAAAATGTGGCAAAAGCAAGGGCAAAAACGAAAGAAAATAGGGAGAAGAGTATACAAAAAAATTTGCATTTCAAATGCCCGCAAGGTGGGCAGGGGCATGGGCATGGTCTCCTTTGCTATAAAATATATTTTATGCCACGCAAAAGAAAAAAATGCTTGATTTGTGCAAGAAAAGAAAATATATGCAGACGAGAGCCTGACGTTGTATTACGCATAGAATGGCCAATGTGGTACACCCAGATGCGAGTCACGACAAAATGGTGTAGCCCTGGAGTGGGCTCTGGGGAGACGAAGATTTACTTATTCTCCGGGCAACCTCTGGGTGGGCATCCACAGGGAGTTGCGCGCATACGAGGGACGGGACAGGACGGGACATATACACACAGTCACGCAACGCACTTCTCTGCTTGGCAAGGGGCTGACGAGACACTCAAAATCCTTGCCACGGAATTTACTGTGATGTGTGTGTGTGACGCACAGTGGTGCCGCAGGTGATGATAATGAATTAAATAAAAATTCAAAATATATATATTAATAGTTATAATTATACATTATAGTATTTGCAATATTAATCATTTGGAGAAAACTTTTAAATGTAGAAACAAACAAAAGAAAATAATTTAAAAGATCTTTTCGCATCATCGTATTTTTGAGTGCCTTTTAGAATATTTGTGGGGGAAAATCTGTTCACAGAAAAATATATTTAATAGAAGTCCCCCCGAAACTCTTTAATTTGCAATACCTTTTAATTTGAATAATATTTTAAGAATTTTATAAATAAAATAAAATAAAAAATAAAAATACAATTTAATAATCTCTGATATTTAAGCTGGAATATATATAATGATCCCTTAGTCTCTGATTTAATACAAAAATTCTACAAAATCCATTACCGTTATGGAGTCTCTCGTGCCACTGTGCAGTCGCTGCTTTGTTTTCGCATGTAATGGCATTTTAATTGCACGCTACAGCTCAGCGCAAGTGTCTCTCAATTAAAAGTGTCTGCTTGGCTCAAAACGACATGCTGCCTCCTGCCCTTCAGGGCCCTGGTCCTGCCCACACACACACACACACGCCCACCGCAATCTTGGCGGGTTGGCTGCGTGCAAGGAAGGAAAATGATGTCAGGCCACATGTCGTAATTTGCGCGAACCCGTGGAACGGTTGAAGATCAACGCTCCACGATGGCCGCATCCCGCGAGAGCTCAGTCGTAGGAATCCCATAAAACTGTTAATTATTCAGAGACTGGAGAGAGAGAGAAAGAGAGAGCAGCGTGTCATGCAAGATAAGCAGTCCAGTCAGTCCCTGCCAGTGCCATACAAAATGTCAACATTTTTAAGATAAATTTTAGGCAAATCCCAGAAATAAAAAACTCTCCAATTCTGCTATGGGTGAGAATGCAAATTTGCTAAAAAGCGGCGGGGCGGAGGACACTGCGCCACATCAGCAACCCTTGAGCTTAAGGCAGGAATTGCGACGCGAGAATTGCGGCCTGCAACATCATGCCCCAGAAGACTTTCTCCGTTCCCAAGTGGGCATACGGGCATAATTCTCTCTACTCTATTGGTTTTATTAATTAATTTAATTTATTTCATTGCAGTGGCAATCGGGTTTGACCTCCAGATGGTTCCTGGGCTATCGCTGGCTGCTGGGCATCTTTTTTGGCACGGGCGTCATCAGTTGCTTGGCCAAATATCATCACAATGGTCGCTGGTTCATATATCTGACCGATTGGGGTTTCCTTTTGTGTGGCATTACCAGCGTTAGTGGTGCCATATTGGTGACAATCCATCACTGGCATCCACAGCGAATGGGTGAGCTCGAAATGATATTCTTTGTATTTTGCTATTGCTACCAAATTTTGCTGCTCCTTCAGTACGAAATGGCACAAAAATAAAGGCATATTGGGTGTGCTATTGGATCAATTTAGTATTCGCAAATGTGATTGCTCTGGTGTATTGGACGTGCATCTATCCCTTGGATCGTGATCCCACCAATCCTGCATACTTCACCGATCTCTATAACATCTGGACACATGCCATGCCGCCGATTCTGTTCACCATGGATCATCTGATAGTGGCACAACCAACGCGTCTGCTGCATTTTGTGTATCCCTTGGCCTTTGGCTGGTCATACACGGCATTTACTTTGATATATTATGCCATGGGTGGTTTGGATATGTAAGTGGGATATATATTAAAATGTTATTATAAATAATTCCAGATATTTTTTTTTCTTTTTAATTTACAGCAAGGGTCATCGCTATATCTACAACGTTTTGAACTACAGCAAGCCCAGGCAAGCACTGCTGACCATTGCTCTAATTAGTGGCTCGTCTGTGGTTGTGTCTACCCTGCAATATGGAGTCTATCGGCTGAGGACCTTGCTGGCCCGCAAGCTGGGCAAACTTCAGTGATATTTGTGCTCCCTCAATTCATAATTGCATTAAAGTGAAGCGTGCCAAAACTTAAAAAACACTCTGCACAAAATACCACAGAGAGGCAGGGAAGAAGCAAAAAAAAAAAAAAACATAGATACCCAGTGGTAAAGATATGAAAACAAAATTTTGCTTATTTGTCCCTCTGATATGTCGGTCTTGTTATGTTGTTTACGCCGCTCGCACGTGTCTGGAAAATTAAAAGCTAAGCTCCCACTCCCACTCCCACTCCCACTCTCTCTCTCTCCCACTCTCTCTCTCTGACTGCTTCCAACTTTAGCTTTAGCTGTTTTCCATCGCCGCTCCATGTATCCGCTCCACGTATCTGTCCATCTATCTCTGTGTTTGCTGTATCTAGCTTCAGTTTTATATGCAAAGCTCCAACCTCTCTACCACGCAAAATTTGTTTTGATTAAGTTTCATTCTCATTTCGTTTGACTATTTTGTGTGCATGTTTGTGGCGACGCTTTTTTCCCGGTCATCTTTTTAATATGTTGTGTAATTTGTTTTGATATTCGTTTGGTCTCTCCTTGCAGTTTAGCCCTTGGAGGGGCACACAAAATGATTTCACTGCATGCAAAATTGGTTAACATTTTACAATTCAAATTAAAAGAAATTTTTGTAACATTTTCAGATTTGAATTTAACATTTTTTCAGCGCAGCTTCACACATTTTTTGTTGCTTTTTTTCTCCCCCCCAATTATTCATACACGTTGCCTGCAATTACATTTGCGCATAATGTGGTTGTTGGTGGTACTCCAAGGGGGGGTGGGTATAAGCAACACAACTACAACTACAACAACAACAGTGTGTTGACGCATTGCTGCATTTTTCCACCTGTTCACCCACTCAACCAGCAAGCATCAACCATACACAAATCCACTCTGCAAGCCCCCACACTGCATTAACTTCTGCTTCGATAAATAAACAAGTTGAGCTACTTAAGATTTAAGTTGTTGTTGCAGTTGTTCCCCATGCACCGTGCACCATGCCACATGCCCCATGCCCCATGTCCCAATCCTCGTTCGCGTTCCCGGTCCCGTTATTGTTGTTGCAAGTTTTGCTCCACACAAAATTTATAGTGCATATTTTTTTGCACCCCACCCCGCCCCTCTCAGCAAAGTACAGTAAAGATTCTTTTTAAAATACTTATTCACTGTATTAAAAATCCGCAAACATGTTTTGGGGTTCATTTATTGGCAGCTTTCACTGTTATAGTTAACCCCTTCATTCCGTTACAAAATTTCATATTACGTATACGCTACGTATGCGCATTTCAAGCATGAAACTCTCTTCTGCACAATGCACAGCAGCAGCTGCAGTCGCTGCCGATGCCACTCTGCCGCTGCCGCTGCCACTGCCGCTGCCACTGCCTCTGCCACTGCCTCAGCCTCTTCCCCAGCCTCTGCCCCAGCCACTCCCCAGCCACTGCCTATGCCGCTGCTCAGCGTGTGCGTTGGATAATAATAAACATATAAATGTTTATGTTAAATTAAATTGAATGCAAAAAAGCGGAAATGTAACAAAAAATGGTTGCAAAAAAAAGAAGGAAAAATTGTTTGCGCCTTGTTGGGCGCACCCCGAGAGCAACGGAAACGCTTCAGTTGTTGCAGGGCGACAACTGAGGACAGCAAATTTAAGAAGGCAGAAGCAGAAGCCTCTCATCCTGCCATCATTGGCAAATGCATTTTGGGAGGACGCTTGTTGTCAGGCAAGGCAAAGTGCAGCCATAAATACGTTAACGTTCGATATTTTGTGAGCGTTTTCCAGCTGCAACTATATACAGAGAGAGACAGAGAGGGAGAGAGGGAATACCCGCCAGGGCTAAGTGGCTGCTGCCACACCCACCTTTTTTCATGGCACTAAGCAAAGACATTTTATGGGCGGGCGGGCGGGCGTTCGGGTGCTGGGCCCTGTGCCTGTACTGTCTATGCATTTTGGGGTATAGTTTGGATAGTTACTTACGCTGTGGCCCTGTGGCAGTAAAAAATTTACTAAATTGAAATCACTTAAGCAACTTGATGATGGCCTGGCCAAAGTCTCTGATATTGTTGCCTGCTTCTCACGTCATCAACGGGGTGGGGCAGGGGCAGAATGAAATTTTGGTGCTTGCGTTTTTTGGTGTTAAGTGTATTTTCTGCAAGTAGGCGAAATAGGAGAGGGATCTGGGTATTATGAAGCAATTTATACATTCTTAAAAGGTGAAAAATTTAAATTAAAATTTCTAAGATTATGCCCAGTAATTGTGCCTGTAGGTAGAGCACAAACCATACGACTTCGGCCCTTGGTTTTAAAACAATATTTTGCTTAAACGGTCAGTATTTTCTTACCCCTATACGTTTGACATGTAACTGGAAGTTCGAATAATTTAAGAACTATTTTCTCAATAAGTGTTTGTGAACAAATACACATAAGATGGTCATCTTTGCGCTATTCGCAATTTTAAATTCAATTTTATGGAGTTTTAATATACATACATATGTACAGCACATCTATCTATGTATGTATAACAAAATTATAATAATAAGAATAAATAATTTTTTTTTTATGCTCCCAAAAATTTCTATCCCTTTTTTTTTCTACATTTTTAGATATTTATTTGAATATTTATTTCTTCCTTCAATTTGAAATGAACCTTTCTAAGGTAAATCTCTAGGTCGCTTACCTAAAACAGAATTATTTTTAAGTGTGAAAATTGGTAAGCAATTGCAAAACATTTTAAATAAATAGATACCAAAAAAAAAAACGAAATAATTTCCATCTCATTCTCGAACGTGTTAAATAAAAGAACACAGCACAGCACCATACACCAATCGACTTTGACACCCATCAATTTTGTGGTCAACATGTTTGCTAAATACAGCCGACAGGCAAATTAAAGACACTAGATGTTAAAGTTGATTCATTTATAATTAAAAGGGAAAATGGAAAATGTAAAATATTCATTGATTGGACGAATGACCGAATGGCAGAGCGAAATTAAAGCATATTTCCATGCTCAACTATTTGCACATTGTTCAGATTGAATTGACTGGAATTTGGGTTCTCTCCCACTCTGTTCGGGCCCGCATTGGAAGTTTATTCTTTAACAATGCATTCAAGTGTTAAAATATGTATATGAAATTGATTGGCTGATTAAGCACACACTTTACACGCTCCTCCAACTCCACCCACCATCCACCACACACGCATCTTTATTTCTATTCTTCGTTGGGGCGCCTGTCTGGCCTTGGCATTTTCCTACCACCTACCACCCCTTTTTTTTTTTTGGGCCATGATTTGCTGCGGAAATGACGCAAATAACGCAACAAATTTAAGCCAGTCACAAAAAATTTACAAAAGCACAAACGACAGACAAAACGCAAACACACCTTTCGCTTCGGGTTCGGGCTTGGTTTATTTATGACAATAGGCATGTGAGGAGCCGACCCGACCCGGACCTGGGCCCGACAACAGGATGTTTAATATTATGCCATGGGAAAATAAAGGAAAACACACATACAGACAGACACACACATCCCTGAACACATCCGCCCACGTGCGTAGTGTCCTATTCGGCTCTTCGGTTCCTTTTGTTGTTATAATATTTTGCATAAATTCCGTTTATGTTCGATAGGTTGTAGGGTATGCGGGAATTTGGGTAGAATATGGCAGCGAAAATATTTGAAAATTATGATTATAGAAAATTAGTTCTATGTTTATATTTATTTTGAAGAAATAAGATTTGAAATTTAATCATAGACATCTACCCTGAATAAATTTAAATATTTATAAATATTATTTTAAAAATATATTTCTAATATAATTAAAATTTTAAAAATAAAAATATTTAAAATTAACCAAAATATTTTCTAATAAATAATAACTAGAAAATTTGTATCAAAATTAACAAATTTATTTGTTACCTATTTATTTATTTATTTTTAACAATTTTAATTTAATATTTTTGAGTAAAATTAAAATTCCTAACCATTTTCCAGGTCATTCGCCTGGTCGACTCATCAATTAGCCAATACTTTTTACCCTTTTTGTGTCATTTTGAGAGTGAAATTTAATTGTGCTGCTCATTAATGGCACGTCGCTGTCGCCTGGCCCCCGCCAAAAGCCTGCCGGAAATATGTGATTTCCGGCAATAAATACACATTTGTGCCATATTCAGAAACATGCATACATTTACCTACAAATATATATATATATATATATTCAGGTACTATATAAATACATATATGTAGCTGCGTGTAAATTCTCAATAAATGCAAACCAGACTGAGAAATCCGCACAGATAATTATGTGATGGAAAAGGAAGGAAGGGGTGTGGGTGAAAGCAGCTCCAGAAGACAACAATAAATTCCCACGCATTCGCATGCAGAAATTTATGAGTTTCAATTTAAATTTATAACTTGATTATCACTTTTGCATTTTCTATTTTTGGGGGGGTGGACTTTTTTTCCGTACCGCGTATTACGAGGGTTTGAGGATAAAAGGACAGCTAGAGAGAGAGAGAGAGAGAGAGAGAGAGAGAGAGAGAGAGGGAGGGGAGCAAACAATCATTTGAGCATAAAGCCATAAATCTATGGGCCAATAAGAAGGATTCCAAAGGAGTAATACGAACACACACAAAAACACAGAGGGAAGAATTTCGAGAATAAGCACAAAAAAAAATAAAGGGACAAGCGAAGATGAGGCAGCAGAAAGTCAGCAGATATTATTTGGAACTTGGGTAAATACACTTTCCGGTCAGCCAAGGAAACTAGCAAAATGCACTCACTTTTATGGCGCAAAAATAATTAATATTTGAATAGAATTTAACATATTATTAAGCATATATTTTACACAATAAATAGCCCAGAAAAGACTTTAAACTCATCCCCCAATGGCTTTGATGCCATCACAAAGTTAATCAACTTTTCGGCAGCTAAAGTATATGTATAAATCTTTCAATAATAATGGAGTGGGGGGGGTCTTCGACCAAAGCCGAAGCCAATCAAAGGCAAAACAATAAACAGGCATGACAATAAATAAATAAATAAATAAATGCCCGGACAAAAGACTCACAACGGGCGGCAATGCCAGGAGTCGGGCATCAAGAGTCAGGACTTGAGCCAGTCCACTCGTCCCCCCCCCCCACATAGGATCCTGGATGGGCGAGAATGAGGTCCTGGCACGCAGCAGCGTTTTGTTTTGCGTGAAAGGATAATGACGCGCCCACTTTCCG